CCTCACCACCCACCAGCTGGCTCCCTGGTCTGCAAAAGGGGGCTCACTGGATACCCGGCTCCCTGTGCGAATAAGAGGAGCTGACGTCCATGAACGCCACTCCCTGCATCCATGGAGACCGAGGAGGTGGGAGGCCCTTGTACCCCGAAAACCCAGCCAGCCCCCCCTCCCTCTGGAGAACCGTGTCCCGAGCAAGGCCCCTCACCCTGTCTCTGTCTGATCTCCACTGGGTGTATGGATTGACGGGAAAGATTCTAATGGGCTTTAAGTTAATAAGATGGGAACAAATTAGGTTTGATCTCTGCCAGAAGCAGATGGCACAGCTGTCACAGTCTGGAACAGCCCGGCTGGAGCTGTGGCAGGCAGCAGGGGCTGGGTGAGGGTACACAACACTGGGCTCTCTTTATTTATTTATTTTTGAGACAGAGTCTTGCTCTGTCATCCAGGCTGGAGTGAAGAGGTGTGATCTCAGCTCACTGCAACCCCTGCCTCCTGGGTTCAAGTGATTCTCCTGCCTCAGCCTCTGGAGTAGCAGAGATTACAGGTGCACGCCACCATGCCCAGCTAATTTTTATATTTTTAGTAGATACAGGGTTTCGCCATGTTGGTCAGGCTGGTCTCGAACTCCTGACCTCTAGTGATCTGCCCGCCTTGGCCTCCCAAAGTGCTGGGATTATAGGCGTGAGCCACCGGGCCCAGCCCTTTTTTTTTTTTTTTTTTTGAGATGGAGTCTCCCTCTGTCACTGAGGCTGGAGTGCAGTGGCCCATTCTCGGCTCACTGCAACCTCTGCCTCCTGGGTTCAAGCGATTCTCCTGCCTCAGCCTCCCAAGTAGCTGGGACTATAGGCGCCTGCCACCACGCCTGGGCTAATTTTTGTATTTTTAGTAGAGACAGGGTTTTGCCATGTTGCCCAGGCTGGTCTCGAACTCCTGAGCTGAAAGTGACCCACCCACCTTGGCCTCCCAGAGTGCTGGGATGGCAGGTGTGGCCACCGCACCCGCCGGGGAAGTGGAAACGCTAATGATTCTTTCCACGTCCTCTCCAGTCATCGTTCTATTTAGATTTCTTTCACTTCTGATAACAGCTTTTCTGCTTATTTATAGTTTCCCAGAAAATCATTTTACCCAGTTTTTTCCTTTTTTTTTTTTTTTTTTTTGCCTACAGTGGAAAGCATCTTCGTATTCCCCTTTGCCATTTCTGCATCCTGAACACTGTCACGCTGCCAGCTTTCCATATTATTCTAAATCTTCCTAACCGCATAGCCTGGTGGTGACTTCAGCTTTCTCTGTAGGGTTACACATTATTTCACTGATTTCTTTGGGTTTTTCAAATATAACAATCATGTCATCTGTTCCCCGTGGCGAGCAAAGTAAATCAGGGACTCATCTTGGCCAAGGGGACTATTTGCAGTGTTTGGCTATTATGACAAGCATCTTTGTATATAAAAACTTTCCTGTATTTAGAAACATTTCCTCCGGCCAGATTTTTCTGGAAGAAAAGGTAAGAATGTCTTTTAAGCCAATTTACATTCCAAAAGGGTTGGTCCCATTTTCACTCCCACCAGCCAATCAGCAACAGGGAGATATGGAGGGGAAAAAAAAAAAAAAAAAGCCTTGTGGCCCGGCGCAGTGACTCACATCTGTAATCCCAGCACTTTGGGAGGCCAAGGCAGGTGGATCACCTGAGGTCAGGAGTTTGAGACCAGCCTGGCCAACATGGAGAAACCCCGTCTCTACTAAAAATATTAAAATTATCCGGGCATGGTGGTGGGTGCCTGTAATCCCACCTACTTGGGAGGCTGAGGCAGGAGAATCGCTTGAACTGGAGAGGCAGAGGTTGCAGTGAGCTGAGAGCGCGCCATTGCACTCTAGCCTGAGTGACAGAGCGTGACTGTCTCAAACAAAGAAGAAAAAAAAAAAAAAAAAAAAAAAATCATTGCTCCAGGGATTCCAACTCCTCCCACGGCCGAGAAGACCCCCTTTGGGTGTTTGCCTTCTCCAGCCTCACCTCCCGTCACCCCAGAGCCTCTATTCCCACAGCAGTGACCTTCCTTCTGTTCCTAAATTAAATGGGCTGTTTCCAGACTCAGAACTTTGCACTGGCTGTCCCCTGCGCCGGAAACACCCTTACCACTAACGTTTCCATCATTCGAAGCCCTCAACTCAGACATCGCCTTCTCAGACCACCTGGATGCCAACACCCACTCCTGCCCCCCAGACACATGCTGTTCTCTGCTCCATCCCCGTCTAGTCTTCCAAACATTGATTCCAAAATGACTGTACTGGTTTATTGCCAGCATCCACCATTTAACTGAAACTCCACGGGAGCAGGGACCCTGGATGCGTCCCCTGCATCTAGAAAATGTCTCACATGCACGTAATAGTGTTTGTATTATTTATTTCCTTATTTATTTTTAGAGGCAGGGCTTTGCTCTAAGGTCCAGGCTGGGGTGTAGTGGCATTATCAGAGCTCACTGTAGCCTCCACCTCCCAGGCTAACACAATCCTCCCACTTCAGCCTCCTGAGTAGCTGGGATTACAGGCATGCGCCACCACGCCTGGCTTACTTTTTCATTTTTTTGTAGAGATGGAGTCGTGCTATGTTGCCCAGGCTGGTCTCGAACTCATGGGCTCAAGCTATCCTCTCGCCTTGGCCTCCCAAAGTGCTGGGATTATAGGCATGAGCCACAGCACCTGGCCCAGCAAATCATTCTTATCTGGAAACCTCCCCACATCCAGGACAACAAGGCAAGGATCCCCATTGAAAGCTCTAGACGTACAGGAAGCACTGGGGCTCATGAGCTTTATTTTTATTTTATTTTTTCAAGATGGGGTTTTGCTCTGTCACCCAGGCTAGAGGGCAGTGGTGTGATCTCAGCTCACTGCAACCTCCGCCTCTCTAGTTCAAGTGATTCTCCTGCCTCAGCCTTCTGAGTAGCTGGGATTACAAGCACCTACCACCATGCCCGGCTAATTTTTGTATTTTTAGTAGGGACGGGGTTTCACCATGTTGGCCAGGCTGGTCTCGAACTCCTGACCTCAGGTGATTCACCCACCTTGGCCTCCCAAAGTGCTGGGATTACAGCCATGAGTCACCGAATGTGGCTGTCATGAACCGTAAGATTAGTTGCAACAAGTGACCGGGCCTCCCCTGCAACGGCACCCCCTGCCCAAACAGCAACAGAGGAAGGAGAAGCCTGCCCGTCCTGAGAGTGCATCAGTCGCCCCCCCACCCGTCTCATGTCACTTCACTCAACACTTCCTTATTCAGCTCCCAATGCAGTCCACCCTTCATGCAATTATTTGGCTCCTGCTGTATGTCAGCCTCTGTATGCGTCACTGAGCACTGAGGATTCAGAGGAAACGAAAGCAGGTCTCTACTGTCAGGGGATCTCCCCCTCCCAGTGTCCTTTAGAAGGGATGGGCAAGGCCTGGAACAAAGGTACTGACCCTATTAGGGCAGAAGAAACCCTGGGGGCTTCCTGGAGGTGCTGATGGGGGAGAACGAGCTGAGGCTACAGGTGAGTCGATGGAAAAGAGGGGCTTAATGGGG